CGGCTGCAGCCCGCCCTGGCACACGGGCTGGCCCTGGGCACCGCCGTCGCCGTCCTGGGGGACATCAGGTAAGGGGGCTGGCACTGGGGCTGCATGGCCCCCCGGCTGGGGTGGCACACACACCCCACTGCACAGCTCCAACGTGGGCAGGGGGGATGCTGGGGGCTCCCACACTCCACCCTTAGGACCCTCCCTGCCCAAATCTCGGTGCCTGAGCACCCCGGCCCTGCCACTGAGCCCCTGGTCAGTGGTGTGGCTGCTTGGGGGGGGGGGGGGGGACTGGTGGTGGCATCTTTGGTGGCACCCGTAATGCTGTGGGTTTGTGGGGGATTCACCTGCCTTGGATTGACCATTTTAATTCTTAGCCCCTTTTAATAAAAACTGTCAAAGCTGAAATAGAAACATCCTCTTCTGGGGGTTGGAACGAGAAGATATTTAAGGTCCTTTCCAACCCAAACCATTCTATGATTCTCTGATTCTCTGGAAAGCTGAGGCAATTCCTTTCTCAAGGATGTCAGAGCAAAACGTTTTGACCCAAGTGTGCTACTCCCCTGGGTATCTGCAGGTGAAAGATTTAGATCCCCTTCACAAGTGGCTTCAATTCCCCAAAAGCAACATTTAGACAAACCTGCTCATTGAAAAAGGTGTTGTCTGGTGCTAAGATATAGATTTATCCTCAAGGAATAAGCTGAAACAGTCCTTGAGTTTTATTCCCTTCCCTGGTGTCAGCTCTGCACAGCCCAGGCATGGGATGGCTCCAGGCTGTCCCAGGTGTCCTGTCTGGGATCATGGACAAGCCCTGGAGTCCAGAGCAAGCTGACTGATCATTTATCAGCAGGGAAAACACCCCAGGTGAGGTTTGTGCAGTGGGGACTCGGTGACCCCGTGGTACCTGTGCTGGCAGAGCCAAGCCAGACCCCACTGCACCCCAAACCCTGGGCCTGGTTGAACCAGGGGAGCAGGACAGGGGAGCTTTATGGTGAGGGGCTGCAGAAGAGTCCTGGGGGTCCCCCATCAGCTCTGAAGCCAAGAGAAGCCATCTCAGGGTCCTGCACAGGGAGATGTTTTAACCTAAAGTCAGGTTCACACAGAATCCCAGAATTATTTGGGTTGGAAGGGACCAAAAAGCCCATCCAGTCCCACCCCCTGCCATGGGCAGGGACACCTTCCACTAGCCCAGGTTGCTCCAAGCCCCATCCAACCTGGCCTTGGACACTTCCAGGGATCCAGGGGCAGCCACAGCTTCTCTGGGCAACCTGTGCCAGGGCCTCCCCACCCTCACAGGGAAGGATTGTGTCCAGAGAGGCTGGAGAGGGGCCTGGCTCAGGATGGGGGTCCCTAGCCAGGCTGCCAGCCGTGCCAGGCAGGTGGGAGCTCTGGCTGGGGTTTGCTTGCAGCCAGGTCCTCCTTCAGCCCCCAGGCTCCCTCCTGTCCTGGGGGTGTTCACAGCCCAGACCCCACCCCGCTGAAGCGTTTGCTGCCCTGAACAGCACAATGCCTTGCTCTCGTGATGGGTCTGAATTCCAGCTGAGGAATGAGGTGTGATTATGGCTCCCAGACACTCTGACTCATCCCTCACCAGCAATTATCAGGGCTGATTGGTTATGAAACCTGTTCGTTAGTGTGTCTCATGATAATCTGCTTTAATTACAGGGTCTCTGACTCTGTCTTGCTTGTGCTCTTCAAGATGAATGATTTAGGTCTTGTACTGCGGTGCCCAACCTGACAGCCCTGCTCTGTCCCTGCCTGCCTGGAGATGTGACCTCCCAGGCTGGGTACCAGCCCCCCCGGGGCATTCCTGCAGCCCTGGGAGAGACCCCTTCTCCCCACACCTGCTCTGCCAGAGCTCCTGGAAGCTCCTGGGGTCTCCAGAGACCTGTCCCCAAACCCTGTCCCTCAAACTTCCCCTGCCAGCACTGCAGGACAGGTTGGGTGTCCAGCCTGATGCTGCTGCTGCTTTGAAGCAGTGACTGCAGAGAGAGGAAACAGCTGGATTCTGCTCTTCTGGAGCATGTGGCACCTTCCCACGACAGGACTGGAAAAGCACTTGTGGCTCCAGCCCGTGGTGAGCCCCGGGGAGGGAACCCTGTGCCGGGAGTGAACCCCTGCTGATGCTCCTCTCTCTTTGCAGCGGAGGCCACTTCAACCCCGCCGTGTCCCTGGGCGTGTGGTTGGTGGGGGGGCTGAACATGACGATGCTCATCCCTTACTGGCTCTCCCAGCTCTGTGGAGGGGTGATAGGAGCTGGCCTGGTAAAGGTATGGACACCGGGGTCCTCTCCACCCAGGGCTGGGACACAGGGACTCCCCCCCTGCTCTGACAGAGCTGGCCTGACCACCTCAGCCTGCCGCAGCCCCGGGCTCTAAGGCCAGGCTAATTAACTAATTAATAGCTGCAGCTGTTCTCCAGAGGTTTGCTGTGCTACACTAATTAGGCACAGAAGGACACACATGGTCCCCCTGCAGCCCCTGCCGTGTTCTCACACGGCGTTTCCCTGCACTTGTACCTCCGGCACTGCACTCAAGGTCAGTTTAGGTTTGGTGCTGCCCATGCCCACCACGCTGGCAGCCAGCACCCACCTGCACCGAGTGGTCTGGCCACCACAACCCCCTGGGTGACTGGGTAAGGCTCATCCCACCGGGAGAGCAGTGCCTGGCCCGTTATCCCAGGAGACATTAGGAGCCTTTGCCGATGAGTTGATGTTTGCCAGGCTGGCTTTCAGGAGGCAAGTGCTGAGTTTAGCTCCTCTTTAACCCGC